GTAAAAGCAAAGGCATCTTCTCCTGTTCTGTGGGTGGGGCTGCTGCTTCTCATCATTCCCAGGGAGCAAAGTCTTCTGAGACTCAAAGGCATCCACCATCCCTCGGTTCAACAGGAGGATCAGACACTGAAGGATCCCCAGGCCCACCCCCATGCTTCCCTTTTCCTGGGCCTTCTCCCTCTTCTATAGTCCAAAACATCTGGAGGACACAAAACTGCAACAGGAAAAAATAATTTTTGGGATGGATGGTGAGTAAGGTATCAATCCACACTAACAAAACCCACCATGAGCAACTTTCGTGAAGACTCTAAATAGAGAAAATCCTGGGACACCCTCAGAAATAATCTCTCAGGGCCCCTCCCGTGAGCACTGGGGGCAAAGGGAGAGGTCGACCTGTGGCCCCACTGCCAGGTTTGTAGGGGCTCTGGACAGGATGTTCTCTGGAGGCACCTCAGGTCGCCCTGGTTGCTTCACTTGCCTGTTTCTTCTTTCCACCTTCAGCTTGCTATTCAGCACACACGCGCACACACGCACACACACCCCACCACACAGAGCTTTCCAAGCATCAGGAAAAGAAGATCCAACAGAGGGAGGGGACAGGACTGTCCCTTTCTTTCCCCAAAATGTTCTACCACAGTTGCTATCTCTGGAATCCACTGCGCCTAACAAGAGACTGTAGACAAGCCACAGCCTTCTCTTAAATGGTGGGGAAGAGTATCCAGCTGGGTCCTGGGTGCTGGCATAGGGCCCTCTCATTTCCCTCTCCCGCCACCTGTTTTCCTGCCAGGTCAGGAAAAGGAATGAGTGTGCAGACTCTGACACATGGTGTAGGACAATGGCACCTTTCTTCTTCACCGCCCAGAAACTCCCCGGATCCCGTTGTAAGCCTGGCTTCTCACCTCCACCACTAGGCACACTTTATGTGCCAAAGTTTGGAGTCTCTGAGGATATATTCCATTATTCCAAGGAATCTAACCAAATCCAGAAATAATTTTCACAAAGAGATGCAAGAAAACGTATCTGAAAAATCACAGGAAAAGCATCCTATTTTAGGGAAGCAACCCTAGCAAACTATGTTCAGGAATAAATCTGCAGAGGACTTGCTTATCAGAAGCCACAACATACTTTTAAAACGTGTTTTAACACACTGGTAATAAATGTTGCAGTTTATTGCAATCCACTAAGACGCTACTAATTCAGAAATCATTATCTACTCTTGTTTATTATGCAGCTGATCAACATAATGAACAAAAATGAAGAAGCTTCCATTCCCAGCATGTTTCAACTTATTTATTAGATATGAATTTTAGTCCACTTTCCATCAAGAGTCCAAAAACAAAACAGATATAATAAACACCAATGACTAAAGCCATCAAGTTCAAACACTCAAACCCCACCATGAGAACAATGACCAAACCAGAGTGATTGACACATCAGACCCTGCAAATGCCTCAGCAAACAGGTGGCTCCTTAGATGATGTAGAAACCAACCAAAATTGGACAGTGTCTGCTGGAATAAAAGCAGAAGGCCTTCTTGAACTAAATCTTGACTGAGCAAGGAGTCTGCTTAGGGGGCTAAAGACAAACAGACAAACCTTCTCTGTTCTTGCTGAAACTCCAAACATTTATTATTATCCTGCAAAGTTTTAATTTGGTTTTGGCAGAAACCTTCAGCTGCTCCACCCTTCCTGCCCAACACTGGAGACAAAACATCTAACTTAACATCATTTTTAATTGTAGGTTGAGATTCTTAATAAATATTTTCAATCTTGGGTGCTTTCTACAGGCAGTACATCCTAGGAAGGAGGTAGTGATAAGTTTTCTGATTGAAGTTGCAGGAAGGAAAGCAAATCAGTCACAGACAGGTCTGGAAGTGCCCCAAGTAAGTGTGTACAGGAATGGAAGAACCGCAGATATTTGGGTGAAGCAGGAGACAAAGATCAGGCCTGTGGCTAAGCTGTGATGGTGGGACATTCAAAGGATAGTTTGAGCAGCGACACTTAGACCTGACAGGCTGAATATTGGAGGCTGAGAAGCAACAGAGAATAAAGGAGGGGACTTTCTGGGCCAGGTTTCTTTTTCTAACGGTCCTAACAAGTTCAGCTGGAAGTCGCGCTATACCTTTTCCCTAGAGGTCAGAAGTAATTCCAGGAATCTGATATAATAATACAAAGACTAAAAAACAAAATGTTAAAAATTGCCAGGACATTCAGATCTTACAAGATCTCAACAACTAATGTTTTTTTTTAATTTGGGGGTGGGAGGTCCATGAATGCCATCTGATGGTGACATGGGTCCTATGGAGCCCAGCTGTTCTGGTGACCACACCCCACTTTACTAACAGTCCAGCTTCATTCGTAAGGGCTTACTTCTGAGTAGACATGCACTGGATTACACCTCCAGATTGAAAATTACTTCCAAGACCCCATTCAGAGACTTTTAACTATTCCAAGGTATACTTATTTTTAAAACATTAGCTAAAGCACTTTCTGTGGAGACTTGGCTAATCCAAAGTCCTTCCTTGAAGTCCCACTCTCTAAAGAAGAAAAAGAGCCACCCACAGCCTTGCTTTTCTTTCGGCCTCCTAAAGCTTCATCGGCCCCGCCAGGAGCCTGTCCTGGAAGACGTACCGGCTCTTTCCCATCCATGGCCTCCATCCAGAGCCGTCGGTTGGCTTCAGAGGGAGCTTGTAAAGTGATGGGACCAGATCTGTGGAAAATTCAGCAAGGGGGACGAGAAAGAAAAATTAGCAGCAAACTCAAATTTAGCTTTTCTTTTTTCTTACAACTCCCAAAATAAAACAGAAGAATCTGAGGGAGGCTCTAGACTTCTCATGCTGAGAAAAGAAGGCAGGTTTCTTGAAGGGGGAGTTCATTGGTATATTAAGGCTTCAATTTTTAGAAATTGAAGATAAGTATTTTTTCAATCTGAGCAACGATTTTTCTCTCGTTATATTAGATCGGTGTTTTTCACATCAGACAACTTCTAGATAGGTGGATGTATCTTCCAAAGAGCTAGTGGTGAAGGCTCCAGGCTAGAAGGCAGGAGAGGGTGAGTTCTCGTCCCGCCTTGGGCATGAAAGCCGGCTGGGCGACTTTGGGCCAGGCCCTCTCTCTCAGCCCAACCCACCTCACAGGGTTGTTGTTGTGGGGAAAATAGGAGGAGGAAGGAGTATTACAAATGTTTGCCACCTTGAGTTATTTATAAAAATAAGAAAGGCGGGATAAAAAAAAATTAAAAATTATCAGCAATGGCCATGGTGGCTGGGAAACTTTGGGTGCTGAAATCTACAGATCTGGAAGTTGCCCAGCTGCAAAAGGAAACAGAGACCAAGTGAAACAGATCAAATGGAGTCATCACTGGCTTGATCAAGAAAACGTCTTAAGTGCCAGACTTGTATTTTAGCCCAGTCCAAAACTGAAACTTATATTAATTTTTATACTATTCAAAGAAATCCATCAAATGTATGAAAGTATTTCTAAACTTTTCTCTCTAAATTATTTAACCCATTTTTCCTGAGCAACAATCTCCCCTTTTTCTTTAAGCACATTTTATTAAGTCAAATCTCACATCACCAACACGGGCCATGACTTCACCAGGCAGCTCTGGATTCTTAACCAGCATCCAATCTGGATGCCAACAGATGCCAACTACCCCTCAATGGGATCAGAAGTGCACATTAATATTATATCTGAGCAGAGCGGGTGGTGGTGGAATCCTGGGAAAGTTTCTTGGGCTCATCAAAATTTAGCTGCTTTCTCTTGGAATTCTTCAACATCACTGCAGGTAGAAAGCACCAAAACTCTCATTTGATTGAATGTTAGAAAAACACTTTTGAACAGTAAGAGCAGTTCAGCAATGACCCTGAGAGATTACAGCCTTCCATTCACTGAACTTGTTCCAGCAGAGACGGGAGAGATGTTGGTCAAGGAAGCTTTACTTTGCATTCGTGCACTGAGTGGGGGGAGGGTCTTTACAGCCCCTTCAATTCTCCCAACAGAGCGACATGCCCAGACATCCGAATGGAAGGAAAAGCTTCCGCCTTTTCATGACTATTTCTTTTTATCTGCGAAATCTTCAGAAGAAAAGCTGTCAAACATTATTTCAGTGCCACCATTGTGTCTGAAGCTGGCAAAGGTTTAGCTCACCTTTCCACTGTCTCAATGTCAAAACAAAACCTTTTGTCTATAGAGTCAGTCTTCCTTCGCACGCAGGACTTCAGGATCAAATGTACAGTGGTAGCCTGAGAGAAGAGAACCCACATATTATGTTTAAAAGAAACAACAACCACAGTTGAGGTGGCATTTCAAGAAGTCTGGGTCAAGAGTAATAGCCAGCCCTCCAATCAGTACAAGCTGAAAGTGGTCTAATCTCAAGGTTCCTCTTGGCAAACCAGAGGGCAAGAGCAGGAACCAGCGTTCCCTGGTTACAGGACACTTGCAGAGCAAAGGCCTATGCAGGGGCAGCCTGGCAGATATGGCCACCCTAGCACTTTTCAGCAGAACTCCGCCTGAGGGCCGGTGCCCAGGCGCCCTCCTGTCACTGCAGGATCTCGTGCGGGCCCTGGCCCTGCGGCTGGCTTGAGCTCTGCCTTGCCCTCGGAGTGGAGACTGCCAGGGACCCTCTAGTAACTGGCTGTGTTGGGGTGCTGGGAGGCCTGGTAAATTCTGGGGGTGCTCTGAGAAAGCCCCCCCTCCAGCCCAACTGCAGGAGGCAGGTTGCAAAGGGGGACAAAATGCAGCAGCTTTTGGGGAGGGGCGGCAATTTACACAGACGGAGGAGGGAGGAGGAAGCTCAGAGCAGCAGCCAGCCTTTGCTTCTTCGGCTGCTGGGCTATGACGGTTGTTCTGCAGTTACAGTGAGCTTTTTCAGGTTTTTTTTTTTTTTTTTGAGGCATGGCCAATAGCAAAGGGGCCTGCAAAATTGTAAGCAAGAGGGGAAAGGAAGACATGGATGGGACAGAATGGGAGGAGGGGTGGTTAGGTGGCTCTGGGCTCTGGAAATGATGGTGGTGGGTAGACTAAATAACAGAGAATCCCCTAACAACTCCTTGCCTCCTCCCCTTCTAGAAGCCCCAATCCTAGGAGCAGAGATATGCAAGATGGGAGTACAGGAGGTAAAATGCACCAAGATCCCACGGTGAGGAGGAGGTAAGAGGTGAAGAATCACATGAGAGGGAGAACTGCCCAAGGTGCTTCCTTGCGGCCCATGGCTACGCTTTTCCTTCTCCCTTCCTGAATGTGCGCTGGGGGACTGTGACATGAATTGGGAGGCCTATGGCTTCTTCTGGCTGAGCCATGGGTTCACTCACAGCTGCCAACTTGTAGAACACCATCCTTCCACACTGGAGGGCTGGGCCCGGGAGTCGCTTTTCCATCAGCAATCCGACTTCGCATACACAAGCAAAAGCCCCGTGAGGATTGATGCCTCACACCTGCAAAGCTAAACAGCTGCCAGGACTTGGTCCTGCTCTGCCTGGACAAGCCAGCAGATGAAGCTTGGGCTTTGCCTGTGCAAGGGGGATATGGAATGGAATGAAGAACCCAGCTGATTCTAAACAGATACCTGGCACCCTCGCTCCAACTGGGAGGTGTTCACCAGCTTTATTCACCATGGGGAATTCCCACAAATCCATTTATCATTCTATGGAGCCACCAGTGTGTAAGAACTGGACTACTCCCCTCTTCCAGAAGCCTGATGTCAGTACCGATTCCCTCATTCCCTAGGCTTGCTAGAGACATCTAGTGGACCAAACCAGCCAAGAGAGCTTTCCCAGAACAGTCAACAAGAGAGCAATAGGGTTATTTCTAGCTTCTTTTGGACAGTCACGTGACAAGAGGGGGACCTCCCTCGGAAAAAGGGTGAGGACCCTTCATCTTCTCATATATACCATGGCTGGATGCAGTGAATCATAATATATTTTGGTTTTCTGTGCTACACATTCCTAGACCTTCTGCTTTGTAAACCAACACGGGACAGGGTGGACAACCTGGGAGAAGTCAGGGATGCAAATCAGCTTCCCAACCTTCTGGAAAGCTGCAACAGCCTTGGCTGAAACCTTCGGGCCCTTGTTTAGCTTTCTGGAGGGATAATGGAGGGAACAGGAATTGGAGGCCTCTACAAAGCAAACTATTAGCACTCCCACCCTTCAGGTTCTCTCAACCCGACCCCCAAAACATGCCATGCTGGAAGTCTGTCATTTTGTTGCCGCATTTCCGCAGTGCTGTCTCGGGGGGTACAAACAGGCTTAGTCTGCCATGAGAACCCAATTCACTGTGCCGCCTTATTCAAAAAATCACAGTTCAGTAACCCATCCCTTAGTGCCCTGCATGGATCCAGTTTTTTACTTATACCTAAAGGTTAACATCTAGCAGCAATTAAGCTTAAAGCAAAGCCTCTCATGGCAGCCTAGGGGAGGCGTTTTATAATCTGGCGTGCTGGGCGTCTTCTGGTCTTGTTTATTCAACAATGCCATCTGGCAGGACCCAAGAAGCATGTCTTCTGTTGCAGCGCCTGCCTTGTGGTACATTTTGAGATTCGCTTGGCTCGATCCTGCGGGCATTTCATAAGTCCTTGAAGACCTGGATGTTCCCTTGGACCTGGGGCCAGAAGCTGGGTGAACCTGCTGACAGGCTTCGTTTATTATGAATTGGCTTAGAATGTCTTCAGGCCATCCAGAGTTGCATTTGCAAGATGGGCAGTTAAATAAATGGAATGAATGAATGAGTAAGAAAAGCTTAGCCGCTATCTGGGATGCAGTTCTGTTGACAGCCCAACGTAGAGAGAATTAAATCTTTCCTCCCATACAACGTGCTCATCTCTTTGCATTTCTTTAAGTGGGTCTCATTCAATTTGATGAGAATTTGCTTTCAAAATTTCTTTCAAAAGAGAAGAGGAAGTTGACAAAGACACCACCACATTGAGTTAGGTGGTGGCCAACGTCCTGCTTTCTGTAGTGGCAATGTTTGTCATGGTCTGCAGTGTTCCTGGCCTGCCACACTTCCAGTTAAATCTGACGGAAAGACATCAGAAGGGAACTTCCTACATGGGACCCTCTCAAACAGAGAAGCAGGGCAGCCAGGGAGGTTTCAGAACATTGGAAAGAAAATCAGCAGCCACACTGTCTCGACCATGCCAACAACAGCATCAGTTGGAAAACAATTCAGAGAAATCCAAAGGAAATGGTCAAACTTCCTAAAGAAGAAGTAGAATATTAGAATCCTCTTTGGCAGAAGAAGAAAATGTTTACGAACTTCCTTCCTTCCCTCCCCTGCTGGTAATGTAACCAAGGGGAAAATAACCTTCCTGTTGTTCCAGTAGAAAGATTTTTCCAAACCCAATTGAGGAAGATGGCAATGGGGAATCGCATGTAGAGACAGGCCTTGGGTTAGATACAGCAAAATTTTGCCTACATTAACGTAGTAAAGGACACTTAATAACAGAAATAGTGCTCCTTTAAGAGATGCCACACTGAGAAAAAGTCTATAACGGAACTTTTTGCTTGATAAAAGAGAATTTTGGAGGCAACATAAAAGAAGCTTCACTGCAGCTAAAGTTCAGTGAGATAAAGGGGTTTGCATGATCCAAGACACTGTCATCACTTGAGAATCCTGGATAGAAGACTTGGGAGGAACATTTAAGGCTTTTTCTCACCCAAATAGTTGATACTGATCCTGCAGGTTAGAAGACCAATTGTCCTGCTTGTTATTCTTCTGATGGCCTGGTGAATGACACAGTGCAAACCTGACATGTCAAAGAACTTTCATTCTGTTAAGAACAAGTTTCCCCAAACTAGTGTCTTTTAGCTCTCATCATCACCAGCCTGCATGGTCTTTGCCTCTAGAAACTCTAAAATTAGTTACAACCCTTGTGAAGATTAGAAACAAAAAAGAAACAAGAACATCTGGACTGGAGATCAGAAAGCTACAGAGGAGGGGAGAACCCACAAGTTGCAGTTTTAGCTCAGCGTTAGATAAGGGCTACAGAAGTGGCGTTGAAGTTCTACCTGGTTTCACACCACGAGGAGCACAGAGTAATTGATCCAAGAAGCTACTTACTTGTTTCGCTCCTGGTTTCTGCTCCATGGGTGTCATTCTTAACATCTTTGTTTCCTTTTCATACTGGCAGTAGTATTTGACCCAGGAGATTCCCAGTGCCCCTACATCAAGTCAAGAGATGAATTAAGTTAATACCTGAGACGCCCTACTCTCCACATTTCTGTGCAACATCTAATGCAGCTAATCTCAAACACTGCCTGGGCCTGGGTCTTCAGCACTAAAAGAAAAGGCAAATGGCAGGCAGACATTGGTTCTCTCTCACTTCTCCGGGCACAGATAAAAAATAATGCCACAGGCTAGACATGCCGTACTTGTTTGCATGCAGTGGAGACCCTTGCCAATCTTTCTTGATCCAGCCTATGTGAGAACCGGACTCAGCTCCTTGATGTCAGTTCTGGCTACAAGGGCACCCTTGGTTGAATTTAAGTAACTGTATTGCATCCCAACAGATACCATGCTTTCATCTGATTAAAACTCATGATATCCTCATTAACAGAATGGGGGAAAAAAGGCCAAGTGATGCCACTATTAGACAGTTTCACAATTGGCTGGATGACCATACCTAAAGAGTGGCTGTGAATGGCTCCACTTCAGCCTGGAGTCAAGGGCCAGAGGTCTCTCCCCTGGGCCCAGTGCTGTTCAACATTTTTATTAATGACCAGGATGGAGCTAACAGGATGATTATTAGATTTGCAGATAACAGAAAACCAAGAGGAGTGACTAACACTTTAGGAGAGAAAGAGGGGATCTGAAAGATCTAGACCGGCTTGAAGAGCAGACTGAAAGAAACAGGATGACGTTCAACATGGAAAATAGCAAAGTCCTGCATCTGAGGGGAAAGAGAATTGTAAGACACAAGTATAGAATGGGAGAGCCCTGGGTTGACCATGATACCCCTGAAAATGATCTGGGTGTTCTATCAGATCATAGAGTGAACATGAACCAAGAACGCGACGAGGCTGCTAAAGAGCAAGTGCTACTTTGGGATGAATTAACAGGAGAGTAGAGTCCACTTTCACTCTCTATCCTGCCTTGCTCTTGCCCCATATGGAATAGGGCATCCAATTCCACACATTACCATCTGAAAAGAAAACAGACAAATTGTAATATGCTCAGAAGAGGGTTAAATGATGAGGGAGCTGGAAATTGTCCAATGAGGAAGTTTAAAGGAAGCGGTTATGTTCAGCCTGCAGAAGAGCAGATTGAAGGGGAAAATGATAGCACTCTGCAGAAATCTGAAGTTATAAGGAGGAAATAACATTTGTTCTCTATTTCCCCCGAGGGCAAGACCAGAACCTCCAACTACAAAGAAGTAGATCCAGGTAAGATATTAGGAAGAGCTTCCTGATAGTAAGAGCTGTCAAACAGTAGAACAGGCCGCTTTAGGTACGTTGTACGTTCCCCTTTGCTGGAGGACTTTGAAATGAAGGCTGAAAAGCAATCTCTCCAAAACGCTTTAGCAGATCCTGCACCAAACAAGGGGTTGGATCAGATGACTTTTGAGGTACTTTCAATTTTATGGTTCTAAAGGAAACTATGAATGGGTGGGGGGAGAAAGGGGGGAAAGGTAAATACAGGAACAATGTATTTCTTCAAAATGGGAACCAGCAGAGTTTCTATTACCCTGACCACACTTTCTGGAAGGATGACTACAGTCATATACAGCACACAGACAAGTAGTTTCGCTTTTGTCTGCCCTCCCTGAGTTTTTCAAATAAATAGACCACTTCCTATGTATGTGAATGTGGGTATATGGTTGTATATACACAATATGTGAACACATACTTAAGCACAGCAGCACAAACTATATCTGAAACTCATGCATGTATGTATTAATGGTCTTGCTTGTAAAGTGACATCTCTCAAATGGGAAACAGAAACTGAAACTCCTTTAAAGGGTCTGTTAGGGGGATTCCATGGTGATCAACACTTGGCTCAGGGACACCAGTTTTATTACAGAACCCCAAGAATACCTCAAATCCTGTGATGCAATTATTTACCCCACGTCCCTGCAAGACACTATATGATGTCAGTCCAAAGGCCAAGATTGATTTGAGAGTGATGCTCTGCATGCCTTGGAGTGTGCAAATGTTGCACCATCCTAGTTTCCATAGGGGCTAGCATGAGACTGTAACACCTAAAGTACTGGTTAAAACTAGTCTTTATGGCAGGATCTTGGTTCTTGAACTCTTCTAGGTAATTCTGTTTCTTCTTGAAAGAAGGCCCCAACTCCAATTCAAGACACTGTGGTTTCTCAGTCCAAGTCTGGGCTTCACAGGGCTCAAGAGAGCTAATCTAGAGTTAAATACTGCATCCTTTATTCTGACTCCAGAAAAACTGGACTGTATTCCCTTATTATTATACAGGTAGCATATACAGATGAACCTTTACCCTAATCGCCTAGTTTACTAATACCTTGCTCATCTTACTCAGGCAAGAGTAGGCAAGACTATATGGCAATGTCTTGTGAGCTATGATTTTAGAAAGCTGATAGAACAATATCCCTCTACAAGACCTTCTGCACCCATATTCAGAAGGAGTAAGTCTGTCCCCCATGTTTTATCATGCTATCATTTTAATTAAGGCTAGCACTCAGAACTAATTAACACCTTTGTTAGTTAATTGTCTTGATAGGCCAGACTAGAAGGCATACCTTTTTAAGCTATCCTATCTACAGAAACCTCTAGAAGAGTCACTAAAATTGCTCAGTTGCTCAGGTGATGGATTTAATTTTGATAGCTGTACTGTTAATTTGAAACAATGTGTTGTCTGGATATGGATTACTCCACTTACTCTATTAACTGCTCAAATAATTTTACATGACTCTTCTTCTTTCTGCCCCTCCACCCAAGTCCTTGGTGTGCTGCCTCCCCATGGTTCCTGGGACGGATCAGCAAACAGATGAACAAAGAATGCTGAGAGTGTATGCCAAGGGTATATATACCCAGCAGGGTCACCCAAGGCATGAGGATCATCCCAGCTCCCACCTAAAGCCAGCAGGTGCCTATATTGGGCAGCGGCGATATAGGAAGACGCTGGAAGACCATTTTAGTAACAATGGCAAAGGCATCAATTCATACTGCATGGGAGAAGGCAATGGTCAACCACGCCTGTTTTTACCAAGAAAGCCACATGGATAGAAAATACAAAATGACTGACAATACAGTGCCGGATGATGGGCCCTCAGATTGGGTAACACTCGACATGCTACTGAGAAAGAACTAAGAATCTTTCAAAGTACTAATGATGTTTATGATGCGCTTAGATTAAAACCTTCAGGATGTCTAGTTGCTGATGTTGCTATGGAGGAAAAGAAAATCCAAACTTGCAGACAGAATTGCAGTGGGAATATGGAACACAAGAACCACGAATGTGGGAAAGCTTAACACAGTGAAAGATGGAATGAACTGACTACACATTCACATCTTAGGCATCAATGAATTGAGATGGACTGGAATTGGACACTTTCATTAAGAAAACTGCACTGTTTACTACTCAGGACATGAAAAACAAGGAAGAAACAGTGTTCATAGTTAGGAAGGGTATAGCAAGAACAGTACTTCGCTGCAATGCAATCAATTAATATGGCGATTAATCCAAGTTTATGCTCCAACTACTGATGCTGAAGAAGAGAAGGTTGATGAATTTTATAATCAAGTTCAATTAAAAATTGACAGAACATGCAAGCAAGATGTGCTGCATCTGGCTGGAGACTGGAAGACTGAAAGGTGGAAATATTATGGAGGAAAATGTAGTTGGACTGCACAGCCTAGGAAATGAAAGTGAAGCAAGAGAAAGATTTATCAGTCTTTCTGATTATCTGTCAATCCAATGATTTCTTCATTGCTATAACACAATCTTCAGACAATCAAAATGACACCTGTATACAGGGACATCACCAGATGAAGTACACAGATATCAGATTAACTATATTAATGGTAGAAGGAGGTTATAACAGCAACGACATAGCCAGAGACCGTCTATGGAACAGATCACATATTGCTCATGTGCAAGTTCCAAGTTAAGCTAAAGTGGAAGAAAAAAGCCATCCAGTTTCCACGATATGACCTTGAGCATATACCCACCATTTTCAAGGAAAACATCGGGAATTGTTTTGAAATCCTGAATCTCTTTCACTGGGTACCAGAGGAACTATGGAATGAACTTAAAGAAGTTGTTAAAGATGAATTTAGAAGGAGACTGCCCAAAATGAAGACGCAGAAGAAAGCAAACCAGACATCAGACAAACCATGGAAATTACCAAGGAGGAGAGAAGCCAAAGCCAAGAAAGACAATGATCTCAGGAAGAAATTCAGAGACAAGAAGCAGCATTACAACAACATGTATAAAGACACTGAAGACAGACATGGAAACACAAGGAAAGTCTTTCAAAGATCTCTGAATACAGGAGGGTCCAACTTTGAATTGGTACTCTAAAGGACATCAATAAGTCCTTTAAGTAGGTGATTCCAAGAAGATCAAAGATGGAAGTATACTAAAATTCTGCACAGTAGAGATGTTAACATTCAAGATACCTAAGAACATAATCCTGACTTAAAACACCTCTAGTACTAGAAGATGAAGTTAGATCAACACTCCAGTTAGAGAGCCAGTCTGGTGCAGCGGTTACATACTGGCCTAGAAACCAGGAGACTGTGAGTTCTAGGCTTTTCTTGGGCATGAAAGCTGGATGGGTGACTGGGCCAGTCACTCTCTCTTAGCCCAGCCCACCTTCCAGGGTTGTTGTTGTGGGGAAAATAGGCGGCAGGGCTATTAGGCATGTTTGCCACCTTGAGTTGATAGATATATGCAGGTAGTCCCCAGTTCAAGAATGAGTTCTGTTCCCAAGGTCTGTCTTTAAGATGAATTTGTATGTAAGCTCTATTAGGCATGTTTGCCACCTTGAGTTGATAGATATATGCAGGTAGTCCCCAGTTCAAGAATGAGTTCTGTTCCCAAGGTCTGTCTTTAAGATGAATTTGTATGTAAGCTGGAACAGTATTATTGTATAATACTGTATAAGTAGTACAGGTAGTCCTTGACTTATGGCCATTCATTCAGCAACTGTTCAAAGTTACGAACGCACTGAAAAAAGTGACTCATGACTGGTACCCAAAGTTACGGCTGTTGCAGCATCGTCTGCGGTCAGAGATCAAAATTCAGGTGCTTGGCAGCCCACCCACACCACACACTGCAGGGGTGCTTCAACTCCTCCCACCTGCCTGTCTCCCCCCATCTCTGCCCTCTTGGCCCCCTGCCATCCTGTGATCTGCCGCCCCAGCTGACCTTCACCATCTTCTTGCTCCAAAACCCCTTTGCAAAAAGCCCCCGGGTGGGGCGGGGCTCAGCTTCTGCTTCGCACTGCGGAACCCCCCCCAAAAAGCAGCACCCCCTTCCTTCCCCCTCCCCCTTTTTTTCCTTCCCCCACGGGTAGACTGGCCCGTTCCTGGGAACTCTGGCAATAGGCATGTAGACTAAGCCCCTTTGACCCTCTCCATTTTCTGTGGGTAGACCGGTCCTTCCTCTCAGGAAGGTGGGTAGACAGGTCCAACCTTCAGCTGCCAGGTAGCTTTGCAAAGCTTTAGCTCCAGAAGGCTAAGGCTAAAAAGTTTTAGGTAAAAGCTAAAAAGCTATAGCTCTGGAGGGAAAACGGAAAGGAGAGGGTTGAAGGGGGTTGTGAGGGCCCAGTCTACTCACTTATCACAGCTGGAGGACACTTCCCTGAGTGGGCCGATCTACCCGTGGGGAAAGAAAAAAAAGACAGGGAAAGAAAATGGAGGGGCTG